AGATGGGCATAAGAGACAGTATATATATTTTGTATTGATTACCTTTTTTGTATTATTTAATCACAGGCATCCATAGGAACCAATAAGCAAATAATTATTTAATTTATAATAATATTAAAAATATGTTTTTGATATAGTGCAATTCAATGAAAATTATATGCTTGATTATTTATTTTTAAAATTATTCATCCTAACATGCATTTTATCACTCCTAGTTACACCTACTGAACCCTATTTTTAGACAATAAAGGTGGGAATAAACTATCAGACAACAGTGCTATATTTCAGACCAACAAATCTATCGGTTTAAGACTAACGTATCTGGTCTCGGTCTTAATATTAATGGTTAACATTGGATGGCAGTACATGTTCCTATTTGTTAATGGAGTATATACTCTGTATTACAGTCATTATAAACCGATGGGATATCCCTTGCTAAGTACAATATACAATTTGAAAATTGAAACTTTATGAAAATAAATATTGTTAAAGCATGGAGCTACAATAAGTTCTATTATTTATTAATAAATAGAGCTCCATGGTTTGAGTATTATATGTTTTACAACTATAAGAATCTCTAACCAATTCACAATTACAGTAATATGCACGTAATACAGTCACAATACAGTACTCCCATTTTCTTGTGGCATGCATATATACATTTGCCTGTGTTTGTATGTCATATTTATTTAGTGTTTGATGTCAGCCTTTCCGGCAATTTACACAGAACGTGACAGCGGCACACATGACACGACTTGTTGCTTAGCAGAATTTAATACTTTCTAATATCTCTGCTTAACAGAAATTTATACTTTCAAATATTGCCATGAACAACAGATATTGTGTCCAATCAGTGACTACATCAACCTTCACTGAGCTTGCAAACCTGCGGAGGTTTTTGTGTGACAACTGTTGTTGCATTTTGTGTAAATTGATTGCACTACGCAACAAAATGTTCATTTTGTCTCATGCCGCTGTTGAGTTTTGTGGAAATAGGCCTTTAAATGTCCTTTCAAACCTATTAAGTACCATGTATGTTGTGAATTACTAAATTCACCCTCTTTATAGTAAATGTCATGCTTGAATTGAGGTACCTGGTTGCATTTTAACTTTTTGTTTTGCTGCTGTGCATTTCGATTTTAATTGTATGTATATTTTTAACAAAGCCCCTTTGAAAACTGAATTTCCCACCCTCATTAAAGATTGTAATAATTAAATAAATGTAAATTTGATCTGGTATTACTATCACAATACTTAATATATTAATCAATATATTATTACATAAATGTAATTAACTAGCAATGTTTTAAATCAAGATCCCTGTCTATGAATAGCTTGTCTATAGTCTGGACATGCAGTTCCAAAAGCTGGTGATACGCCCTCAGCTCATCCAGAAACTGTTCCTCAGGAGCACCATTAGACAGGGATGAGATGAAACCTTCTCTGTAGGGCAATGCCTTGAATGTAAGCTGAAATGAAATGATCACATGTAGATCAACAATTAGTGAGTTGTACTACAGTTAAACTTGCCTAAGTCGAATCTAAAATGCCATAACAAAATTGTTCGACTTAGATAAAATTTTACTTACAGATTGCTAATTAATGGAAACATAACAATTTGGCATGTAAAATAAGTTTGACTTGGAAATTATTCGAGTTAGGCAAAGTCGACTTAGAAAAGTTTTAACTGTAATAACAATTTTGGATACTTTTCATAATCTGAAGATATTTTCAAAGCACTAAAGATGCATGCAACATCCCAAAAATTGAGTTTGGCTAAAATACAGTAACCTTCTTGAATTTGGTGTTCCTTCTAGATTTCAAAGATATTTCTTTTTGAAATACTATATCTTCATAAAGTTCAAGAATCTATTCATTTTTTCCAATTGGCTATTTTAATGCAAAATGGTTGTGCCTGATTTGTATGAGGATGTTTATGCACATTTTGATACAAGGAAAAATGAACTTGCAATAGGCTGCTACTGACAAAAACTGTCAAGCTAATGAAGAAAGAAAGAAAGCCCCTTTTTTTTCCTGATCAAACCCTCGTTGGCTAATGTGTCATCCCATAGCCATCCCTAACTAATGGAATATCTTTTTTGAAGTACAAAGGTGTAATGCGCTGGTTACCTAAAAATGTATGTACTGTACAACATACAGTAGAAGAAACAAGCCAAGGGTGTATGTTGTACTATTATGATCCTCATACACTATCATTTCATTGTCTGTTTACATTGACATAAATACAAAGATTTTTATCTGTGCAGATAAAAGTTCATGGTAAATTTATCCACAGTTTTAATGGAATTTTGAGTTTATGAGTAATTTCTTGCTTACTGAGGTTAGTTTTTGAGCCATCCAGCCGTGAAACTCCTTTAAAGAAGACTCATAAGCCCTGGTCATACAACTCTCTAAAATTTTATCAGCTGATGTTGTATCTAATACATTCCTGATGAAGCTACAGATGAAGCCTAGGCCCCTGTGAGCAATTATAAAAAAACATGTTATGTGTTATGTGCATTAAATTTAATGTTTATTAATGTTATTTAATGTTTCAAACAGTTACGGTCTGATAGAATTGTAGTAGTAACGATTTTATCGTTTTTCCATGATTATGACATCATTTGAATTGATTTGTCAAAATATTTTGTTATCGTATACAAGATAAAACTTCTCTTATTTCTTTTATTTTCTATATGAACAATTGCTTTCAAGCTTTTTATTGCTATCGTTGCAAGTATAAACTGGCCCTTATTCGGACAATAAAGTTAAATAATAACAAATAATTATGGTGACAATGATGACAATAATATTAATATTTACCTATTAAGCCATAATAGGGCATCTGTTGCTGAGTTTTTAGCCCAGCTTTTGTTTGCTTCCTTCTCCTCATCCAACATAGCTCCCAGAGTAATGAACCTTTCTTTGTCACTTTCATACTTCAGATACAATTTCTATTACAAATGTAAATTTCAACAATTGAAATATGATTGAAATTTGCACACGCGTCATTGCGTTTTGGCTAGTACATGCGTCGCAAACCTCTGCCTGTCCTGCACAACAAAATCCCCAGGAATTTGACTTTCACAACTTGGGACCCCTGCTACTGTTCCCCCACAGGGCCCAATTACGCTTTTAATAAATAAGTCAACCGAAAGGTCTACTGATTAATTTCAGATAAGATAGTATAATACATACTTCAAGTATCGAAATAAGTAAAATAATGAGACTTAGGGAGTGGAGTTGTTTTAGTCATGAAAAAAATCCTGTTGTCACATGATTGAACCCAGCACCCTGAGACTGGGAGGCATGCATCTTAACCACTAAGCTATTCAACTCCACTCTAATATTAATAGTGTTGCATTGTCAAGACTGTTAACCAGTGTATAAGTTAACAGCTTTGCTGGATGACTCACTTGAATGTTGCCGCTGACATCTGATTTGACAATAGCAAATGCAGTTGGACCAATCACATCTGTGAAAACACAATTTGAATTTGTAATTCGTAAACTTTATAGTACAGGTTGAAGATAATTAATTCTACATTTTTACTTCTCAGTATAAACTTAATAAAACTTAAAAAGCATAATAACAACATATATTTAATTAAATTGAGCACATAGAGTATCAGATTTAATTTGTTGCACCAAGTTGGTACAAAATAAATTACATTTTTATTGCAAAGACTTAATGGCACCACATGCTATAATGAAAGAGTTTGAGCTCTTCTCTAGGCTCTATTATAATAGTTATAACAAACCTAAATATTTCCTTGTCATTTGATTGATGGATTTAGCATCACTATGTTGATTTGGGTATTTACACCATTTTTACAGCAAAACAATCACATATTATTTTGATTTGCATTCACTCTTCATGAAAATTTAGTTCCATACATGTATATCTGTTCCACATTTGCTTTGTCCCAATGCACACCTCCACCAAATACAATGTTTCATTGGTGGAAAGACGATGGACTTTTCCATTCAGAAGAAAGGTAGACCAAACTTTTTTTCATAAAATATCATTTAATGACAATGATCTAATTTTGATGTGTTACAAAACCATTACTGAATGTTTTGTATTTGTGCAATGGAAAGAATATTTTCATTTGTAGAAAGAACTAAATTCTATTCATTGAATGGAGAGGTCAATCTTTCAAGTTAAGAAAATACATTTATTTTTAAATACAGCACTACTATACGCTGGACCGAGACATACCTAACAATCCAATGATTGAATCCTTAGTTGCTTCAAGGAATGGAACAGTACAAATGTCATTATCTTCTCTTTTTGGTTCGTAGTTGTGCTGTAGGCTTCCATAGAAAGTTGTCATATTGATGTCCGTGTAATTTTTTTTCTAAATATATATTTTAGAAATTAAAAAAGTATGTTCTTCATTTATTCAAATATATGGCCAATTTTCTTCAGGGGGTTTTCAAGGGGAGTTTAATATTTAATGGAGGAGTTAATCTTGAAAAAAAACCATTTTTTTTTTTTGTAATATGGATGTCTACAAAAAAAATAAACTCCCCATCATTTTACTAAAATGTAGAGCACAACACAAAATTATTTAAAAAAACTCTTATTATGATCACACATATTTCTGATTTCAGGTTAGCACCGACTGAATTCCACTACCTTAGTAAATCGTCAGTGATAGGAAGGGTGTTGAGGAAGGTGGTAGATCAATTTTGTTCAGTCATAGGGAGGGGTTTTGTTACTGTACCTGGGTTTGTTAAAGGAAAAGATCATCTCAGGATTTTTTTTTAAACCAAAATAACGACGTTCTGGAGATGCGTTCATTATTCAAGGGGGTGGTTCGTTCAATCAAAGCAGGGAAAGTAACTTTCTCCTTTTTATTTAAAAAACAATACACAACAATATAGACCTCAAATTGAAAGGACCTCAGTGCAAGAACATTTCTTAAAATTATATTATCATTGGGCCCTAATCAATTACAGAATGTACTCTCTGTACCAGGGAGTTGAATATGTAAGTGTAGAGACTATATAGCAAATAGGCCTAAGGGGTGGATTGGATTGGATTACTCAGTGTAAACACCAAGAATAGCCCACAAAAGTCTACAAGAAAACTAATTTCCAGTGATTGGGCAGTACACCGAGAGACAATCCCCTACTCTTTTCCGAAGAGTGTACTACGTTCAGCGCACTCACCGTGGCTACCACCAGATTAGCCGACTGAGCTAAGCTCTCCTAGTTAACAGCTATAAGTCCTTGCTCCTAGGTGGCTTAGGTAGACTAGGCTAAGGAGGCTTAGGCTATCTAAACCTAGGCTTGGCCCTAGCAGTCTCGGCTGGGACTAGGCTAGGCCCTATATTAGCAGTCCTCCTAGGCTAGCTAGGCCTAGTCTAGCTGAAGGAAGTGGGCCTTATTTTTATAATAAATACGCTAGACTAGGCCCTTTCCCACAAGCGATCGCCGGCATCAATATAATTGTCATTGACGGTTGGAAGATTAGGTAAAACAATAATCGCCTTTTTAATACCAAAACACCTGTGTAAGTTTTACGCCTACTGTTTCATTGCGGTCTCCCGTCAGGTTGCTTTTGGGGTTTTAATTACGGTTGTGAGGTCGCCCTCTCGAGCCGCCTCAGAAGCGCGGCCTATTAGTCTTCCTTAGCGAAATTTGATTGGTGGATAAAAACATCGCGGTTTATTTAATTTAAAAGAACTTTAGGCTAGGCTAGGCTAGAACCCACTCTGGAAAAAACCACTGAAGCATGGATCTGCTCATGTATGTATCTTTTCAGTTTATTCTTAATTTATTCTGAAGGCATAACCTGCTGTAGGCTTAAGCCCGTCTTACCTTTATTTTAGTAGTAGGGTTACAAGTAAGTAACAAGTAAGTACTAGGCCTAGGCCGGTTAAGCTGGAGTAGGCCTAAGCTAGTAGTAAGAGTCGACCTTCAATTTGGCCACCAGGGCCTGACCTCTCTAGCATACAAGGCCGTAGTACTAGGCCTGGCTAGCCTAGACTGTCTGTAGGCTAGCATGGTGGTACTAAGTAAAGTAGTACTAGGCCTAGGCCCTTAGCTTAGTAGCTAGTAGTAGTAGTAGTAGTAGAAAGGCTAGCCAATGTCCAGGAGAAGCTAACTAGGCCGGCCCTGCCCTGTGGTTTCCACTTACGATTCACTTGAGGAAACAAAAAGAAAAGGTGTGAAACACTGGAAACAGTACAAAATTCACCAGACTGTATAGTAATGCCTGCGTGCGGAATACATCCGCTGTGCAAAAATTTGGCCTAGAAATCCGTCTGCGTAGTTAAAAAAAATAAGGGCTGATTTCCGTGCTGATTTTGCCAAAAATTAGGCTTTGAACAAATCTTAATATATAACCAATGCAATGATGATGCAGCAATTTACGGTTCCACGCACCTTTTTTCCTAGCGATTTTCCGCGCAAATTTGAGCTGATTTTTTAGATGTCCTCCGCGCAATTATAAAACTTTACACTATGGGCTGTAGAATTTGAAGCCTTCGGGGATTGTAGGATTTTTCGCCATTAATTTAGTTTCATAATCGAATGCAATTCATAATAATATATTTGTGTAATTTTTTTCAGATGTTAATAAAAGTTTTTAATTACAACCTGGACATAAAAACCAGAGAAATCAGTAACACCCACCAAGGTCCAAATGAGGCATCAGAGCAAGTGCAACGGTTGGCAATCAAATGCACAAAAAAAGCGTAAATATCGTCAGATCAAGAAACAAAGCAAACTGAATGCTGCACGAAGGGTAGATGCAGGAATGCACAGGTTATTTCATTGTCGTCACAACAATTTATAAATGAATTTGATTATTTTCCAGTCTTTTTTATCCCTGCAGAATTCACATTAAATTCTATTTTTTTTGTCTTTAAATCACATGTTGTATGCCATATATGTAATTGAGTTATAAATTACATAATACTGTATAATTATTGTTATTATCTGTTTAGCCAAATTTTGATTTACAATTATGCCAGGTTGAAAAAAATGTATTAACTCTTCCGTGATGATCACTCTTTTTCAAAAATTTGAAACTATATCGAGGATTTAAAAAAAAATATTTGAATAAACATATATCTGGAGTTTTTCTTGACAATGCAAATTAATATGTCTTGGATTTTCTAGCCCTGCCCCCACCCTCACACAGACTGTGAATACTGGCTTTTGTATTAGCCTTTTCACACCTAGTCTCAGCCGCCAATCACCAATCATATATCACTACAATTATTTCCCTGTTTGGATATTATTCTCCTGATGAAAATTGAAGCAACTCCTCCAGACATTCTCAACAAAACAAATGTTTTCAGAACATACAAGTAAACGTTCACATACATTAGAATACCACGTTATTCACGACCTTGTATCTTTGTAATGAATCATACTATCTCAGGTCTTAGCTACATGCATTATTGAATACTTTAATAAAAATTTAATTTAGAACACAAATTTCAGATTACTAATTATTCTGTTTAAAATCAGTTTCAGCAATGATAAAGAAGAGTTCATGTCAAGTAGTCTGAACTGTGGTCAAGCACCTGAGAGCACTATGAATGTACCAGAGATAGATGCGACAAATTGGATAGGTAGTCTAGCTAACATCCCTTTAAACTTCATTCCATCTGCTTTTACTGGAATTTATAAGAGATGTATATGGGCTGTCGGACAGGTACGGTATCTTTTTACTTATTACATTTAAAAAAAATTATAAACTGTGATGGATTTAGAAATTTGAAATAGATGGGGCCCTGGAAAGGACACGAATAGGGTGTGAAAACATTATGATTATAACTCTAGATGGCCAGAAATGGCATTCTCAGACCCAAATTTGAATATGATTTTCCTGTTTTCTCCATTTTTTTGTACAATTAAACAAAATTTTAAGGGGGACCGAGAATCTGCCCTTGATAAAGCTACCAATTTCCATTGAGTTTATGATGCTTGGAGTTAATATATTGTTAACTTTCAAAAACGAATATTTGAAACAATTCAATTTCTTTGATTTACAAACTTTTTGCTTAAAAAAATTAGTTTAAGGTATATGCAATAATATAGGAATGGTATTATACATGTATGCACATGGTATGTAAAATTAAAACAAGGTATTTTTATTTTAATTTTCAATTAAATTTGAATTATTATTATTAGCTCAAGACACATTTTGTTTTTTTTATTTTATAATTCTAGAGCTTGGAGAAAGCTAAGGATGTGGTATTCCCAACTCGTACGTTTCGTAGAGAACTGGAAAGTACCCAACTGAAAGTGATGCAACTGGAGCAGTCCTTGGCAAAAATCTTAGAAGAAAAAGTAAGCTTCATTATGATGACAGTGTAACAGAATATACTGTATTCAAAATATAATCAAACCTGAGTTACTTCTTTCAGTTACAAACCAGCAATAAGTACACTACAGCAGCAGTGGTGGTGATGCCAGCATTAGGTGGTCCATCGTATCTCATCCCCACCACGGTTGGTGAAAAATGTTTAGGTAATACCGCCTCTAGATGCCCGAAAATGACACTCTGGTCTGCTGACCAGAGTGTCATTTTCTACAAAAATGTTCCCAATTAATTTACCTGACAGAATATATAATGACGGCTGGACCAGTGCCATAGATGGCTTGGCCCGGGCATAGTCAGCCCACCCTCTGGTGCCACCCCTACCTAGCACAGAAGAAAATATAAAAATTGTATACATGTGATATTTATGTGCTTTATCTTCTTTAGGATACCAAGACAGATGCAAAGTGTAATTGCTGTTCAAGGTCTGTACGTGATTCTATGAGTGAATCTAGCTTCTGTACATTACTCAACTCAACTCATCCTGCTCCAGCTTTACAGATGGTACCGCCTCCGCCAAACTTCGCCCCACCTCCACCAGGCTTACCTCCTCCTCCCCCACCACCACCACCACCACCAGTCAAAGAAGTAAAGCAAGTCAAGATAGTTATTAACAAAGTAAAACAAGTAAGAAAATTTTACTATTTTTGTTCTACACTTTTTTCTTCAGTTTGCACTCAGTGGCATATATAAGAGACTTAAAATGGGGGAACTGATTGGGTAAAATGGGGGAACTGTTTGGGTAAAATGGGGGAACTGATTGGGTAAAATGGGGGAACTGATTGGGTAAAATGGGGGAACTGATTGAGTAAAATGGGGGAACTGTTTGGGTGCACTAATGGGGAGGACGCTCGATGATTAAGTGAGAGGCTCGGTGACTAGGTGAGAGGGCGTTAGGTCACAAAATAAAGTGGTATAAGGTTATTTTTAACTACTTCAGCAATTTTTTTGGAGGGATTTTCAGTAAGGTGTATCACAAATCAAGAAACATCAACAGAAGGCGTGCCACAACAAAGCATGATGGGATTGGAAAGGGGGCAGAAAACAACAACACACAATATTTCCTAATGGAATTCAGCATTTGTTGAAAAAGAAATTGTGATCAGTCAGACGACATGACGCCACACCATCACCTTGGTCGTGTGAAAGATAGATCACGCTATCACGCTATTTTCAATCCCATTATGCATTTCAGCTTTGATTTGCGATAAACTGTAAGGGAGGGGCCCCACCACCCACCCCTAGATATGCCACCATTTGCACTTTGCAGTTTACCACCTACTGTGCAATGCAGCTATAGCTCTGCTTAATTTACCCATTTTGTTTGCTTCATTTCTTTTAGAGTGAAAATACAAAAAGTGTTAAAAGATTGCATATTTCTTCAAATGATTTGCGCAAAGTTAAGCTGAGGAGAGTCAGCCATAATGATAACAAGGAGGTATGTTTGCAGAATACATTGCATGCATTCATGTGTACTTGCATTAAAAAGCCATGTACCCATCAATCCTTGATTCATCCTTTACTTACTACTCCATACACGCTTATGTACTACATGGCAAGATTCATGCCGGAGGCATAATGTGGAATGGATCCTTCCATACCCTTGCATTTGTATGCCATACAGTAGGCATCCAAATTTATGTAATGGACGTCACCAAAGAGTATAGAATTAAAAGAGGTCTGACTGCACGCAATGAATCGTTAAAAAAGAGTATTACTAGGGGGGCGTCCTATTTACAAACACCTTTTACACTCTTTTGAAGGACACCCTCTGGTTCGTGGTAGTACTTGTTTTGAGATAGGACTGCATTACAACAAAACCCTGACGGTCCTATGCTTTTAGATGTCGCCTATCAATCCTTGCATCCATCCTTCAGTCAATACTCAATGTATGCTACCCCATGCATCCATTCATAGTCCTTGCATTTGCATGCCATCTACATTAATAGCATGACTATGCCATAGAGTATCCATTCATATACACTCATTGTTCTTTTGAAGGGAAGTATGGTATTAATATTTTTATTATCATTTTTTCAGACTCCAAAGTCTGTGGCAGGTGGTCCACTAGTGTCCCTGAAAGATCTTCAAAAAGTAAAACTGAGAAGACTTAGTCTGGGATCAAACCTAAGCCCTGCAAGTCAGCAAGTGCTTAGGAAAAGGTGATATGAAATGTATATTACTGTACCATAAACTTATTTCTCAGTATCCTTATCTTGCATGTGTTGTTAAAGCTACAACATATAAGGGTATACCTCCATGGTTGTAGAAATAAGGTCTGTTTTAAAATTACATAAAAACAATAATCTATGCTTATATTTGCCTTCTAGGTTGCCACAAGAAGCTGTTAAATTCAGGAGTTCATTGAAGAAAGTTAGCATTGCTCGTAGCCCGGGCGGGACACCATTCCGAACACACCTGAAAGACCATGGAAATGGGCTAACACCAGTCATGACAAGGGCGCTGAAGAAAAAATTCATGGTACAATTTTTGAACATTTAATCTTCTATTTGATTAGCATCCCTCATTGGTTATGTACCTGAAGGAGGTATCTTCACGCTCTGGTTCCTCAGCGCGTGAAGAAAATTTACACGATGCCTTTGAGTATAATGTGTTCCCCGTTACCAGATGCTGCTAAGAAACACACACCCCCAAAAAAGAATCATGTCAAGTACTTAAAAATCATCTTATTTTTGCGAATCAGCGCCTCTCACCTTCGCGCGCCCCGATTTCATGACTTCTAGATACGCCACTGACTATTATCAATTGTCTGTCAATGGGAATGGTATGGGTACATTTTGTGTGTAATGGCTACTCTAAAAGATTATTATAGGGTGCCACATTAAAAACCTATTATCACCACCATGCATAGCAAAATATAATGAGATGCATCAAGAAAGCTAAATTTAAACAGATCTCCTAGATGTGGCTTTTTCCAACTTATATTGTTATTATTCTGATTTCAGAAAGCTAGGACACCGTCTCCAGTACCAGCACCAATGAAGCCACTTCGATTTTAGCCAAGCAACTTGTTAGTTATTAATTAATCTTCTTTAGCTTAATTTTAAATCTTTGATGAAATGTTGGTGCTTATTTGCCAGGTGGAGGCTAATTTTTAATAATGTAGAAATTAATATTAACTTGCATTTAAAGTTGAATTAGACAACAATAACAGTAATTTTTATGATGTATATTAGCCAATCAATGATTTCCAAGTCTAACCATGCATGTGAATTTTTTTTATCATATAACTTCAAAGAATAATTTACAATACTGTACTTAATAAGATTTTATATTGTATTGAATACTAACTGTACATTCTTTTTACAAAATTATGGGTGGGGATATCCTAAAATGTATATAATCACATTTCTATTTTATTATAATAAATTACTTTACAATAATAGATTAATATGTATGTTCATTTACTGTGTGGTACAGAATTAACATTGAAACAACAAATTTCATAACATAACATAACATAGTACATAATTTTTATATTTATTCTCTCCATATATAATAAACACTTATTGTTTAATTTACAAATCCACATTATTCTACTACAGCTCGAATCAAGTGACTGGTGATGAATACATTGAATTGTGTTAATATTATTGCAATATCATTTTATATCAGATTTAGCAACTACAGGTGCTGTAACTAAAATCATGTTCATGAGATGAGCGACAAGCTGCCATTGCCATTATAAACAACAATGTCGGCTCAATGTTTAGTTAGTGTATATATACCTGTAACTACTTTTCATGATTTAAAACCAAGAGATTTAATTTATCCCATTTTGTTCATGCAATGACCAGCAATTATCCACTTGTGAAATCATAGGGATAAGTCACCAAAATGGTTTCAACCAATTCACAGTTACACCACTACTTCCATCGCAATCACATAATGCTTTTTAAAAATTTCTTTCAAAATATATTATTAAAAATAATTTTCATGCTTTGCTAGGCCCCAAATTAAATTAAAAAGCACTGACGACCATACTGGTCACAAACAGCATCACTTGAAAGATTTCATGTTTTCTATTTTCGCTATAGCTCTACGGTGCACCTCGTCTGGTCCATCCGCCAACCTCAGTATCCTTGCCCAAGAGTACAGCTGGGCTAGAGGGAAATCGGAGCTTAGGCCAGCTGCACCAAAGGCTTGCATTGCACGATCTACGACACGTTGGGCCATGTTGGGAGCTATAACTTTGATCATTGCAATCTCCGCAGCAGCAGTCTAAGGGGAACAATACAAAGTACAATATTAGTGTACTGACTAGAATAACTAGTTCTATAAAAATAATTGTCAGGGTAAATATGCCTCCAAATTTCAATCTGATTTAGTATCTAATGAGGTATTAAGTGTGAAGCAGGTGATCAGGGAGGCAATTGCACCGACGTCGTACAAGCATGGAGGCTTTTGTCACAATATTTGATATTGTGGACAGAGCTTTTGTAACCCCCCCCCCCCTCCATGCCTTTCATCTTCTAGTAATGATTTAATATATAATGATTAAACTAACTGATCAGGGAATTTTAACTGCTTTTTTTTATTACTTTCCACATTCATCCACTAACCTTGTTTCCTACAGTATCCATCATATGGGCAGCCTTTAGGGTCAATAACCTGGCTTGTTCAATGTCCATCCTTGACTCGGCAATATCTGCCTGTATTGTCCCTTGCTCCGCCAATGGCTTACCAAAGGCTACCCTATTATGAACCTGTAATGGGACAAAAAAATTATTCTACCATTAATTAATGAAGGGATAAGATTTTGTTTGTAAAACAGAATAATATTGATAGTTTAATGTATATTCCAATCAAACAATCCACATGTTGAAATTAGCAGTTGAATTAAATTCAATGACTTTGGTACTAAAGTTAATTAAAATTAGCTACTATAAGTTACGGACTACGCCCATACACAATTCAGCACAATGATGTTGCAAGTTATAGGTTACCCTCCTACCTTTACTTTTAGTAGTTGAAGATGATGAATGGGTACTCACTCTCTTAACCATTAACTCTAGTGCTCTCTCAGCACTGCCAATCAACCTCATACAGTGATGTATCCGGCCTGGCCCTAATCGTCCCTGTAATGATGAAGGTTCATATCACAATATGTAAAGTATGACCAATTTATCAAAATCTCTCAATTTAATCAACTAAATGTTTCCACTGTGCTTGAACTTTGGTGGTGATTGGTTAAATTTATTGCTACTCTCTATAGCCGGGCACTTACAACGTCGTATGACGTATTCCAGCTTTATAGAGCTGAAATACTAAAACAAGTGTTACCACAGAACAGTCTTTGTGAAGAGGTATTTAAGCCATTAGATCCAAATAAATAAAGGCCTGTCATTAAAAATAATAACTAAAATGCCGATATTGTTTGGTTGTGATATGTTTAAAAAGTAAACTGTAAAGAATGGGAGTAGCTTTGGGAGTATGATGCTTCCAATTCCTTTACTTAAAAACCAAATCTACTCCTGTGACAGAGCATCGCATAGAAATAGATGCTAACAACTTGCTCTGAATGCAACTCACCTGAGCAATTTCAAACCCTCTGCCGGGTCCAAGGAGCATATTCTCAGCCGGAACTCTGACATCATCAAAGATGACCTCACCATGACCTGCTGGTGCATCGTCAAAACCAAATACTGACAGAGGTCGAATGACTTTGACTCCCGGTGTGTCCATCGGTACCAGAATCATTGACTGCTGTTGGTGTTTACTGGCTGATTTGTCAGTCTTGCCCATGAATATGCAGATTTTACATCTGGGATCCAGTGCTCCAGATGTCCACCACTTGTGACCGTTCAGGATGTAATCACTGCCGTCTGCTTTGATGTCAGCCTCTATATTTGTTGCATCTGATGAAGCTACCTGAAAGAAGGCAATTATTAGCTTTCATGATGCATTTTTACAGTCTACTCTCTCTTAGTCACAAACTCCTAAACTCCAACAGTGTTTTGGAAGGGTGGTGTATCCAGCTGAAGACGATTATTTAGGACGTTGGTACATATAAAGCAAGGCAATACGAAACTCTATACAAATTATTTTACATAATAATTATTTAATTCACTTTTTTCAACAATAAAATAAAAAATAAGAAAAACAGACTACTGAACATTACCATTGATCTGCTTACACACAAAATATTATACAACAGAAATCAACAATACAAAAATTACTGAATACATTCATAAAATAACAGCAATACCAACGTTCTCAGCACAGACATAGGTTTAGATACCTTTGGTTCTGTCATTGCAAAGCACGATCGAATACTGCCCTCAAGGAGTGGTGTAAGCCAAGTGTCTTTTTGCTCCTTAGTTCCATATTTCACAAGTACCTCCATGTTACCAGTGTCAGGTGCTGAACAGTTGAAAACCTAAAAGACCACATGCAGTCAATAGATTGATTCAGTTTTTTTCACTTTTATAACACCACTTGAAAATGTTTTAATTAACAATATCATATTATGACAAAAAGATCTATTTTTTTAATTTATTCATTTTTTATTAATTCATTTGGCATTACTGCCCGGGAGACGCAAAAGTAAGAAAACCTACTGACGCTAGAAGTAACTCCCTGAAACAATACAATAACAATGAATTAATTGAACCAAAACAAAATAAAAGGAACGATTATAACAATAATACTGTAATAACAACGTTAGTCTGAGGGAGAATTATATAATGTTATAGCTAGCAATTAGCTCAGTGCCACTCAAACCTCACTAGGTTCTCACTTATACTCCTGAATGAATACAACAACATGGGCAGATTGCCTTGCACAAAAACACTAACAAGTAACAAGCCTCAGACTTACACACCATATTTTGCTGGGATGCCCAACACTACCACTATGGCAGATGCCTTCACAAAAGAAACAAAAATACAGCAGCACTTAAATAATACTAAATAATGTATAAGCTGCCCACCTCTGATGCAAAAACAGATCTGCCCATTAGCTCACATAGGAATGCATATTCTACATTGGTTAAGCCAGCACCATACCGCATGTCAGGGTCCGTCTCTATTGGTAGGAACAAGTTCCACAAGCCGTCATTTTTAGCCTTAATCTGGCAGAAAAAAATAGCAATAATTAGTCAGCAACTTAGATTGATTTTCTTTTGCTCTCTTCCTATCATAAACAAACAAAAACATAAAATTACTGATAAAAAAATAAACATTGATTAACTTATTATTTAGTTTTTTATCCAGGTAAAGATCAATGCTGAGGATTCTGCTTTACAAATTATCAAAGTTGGGACTGATTTGGATGATGCCACAAACATGCAATATTTGACATTTGCAGAGTGGCATTAGTTATTAATGAATAAGACAAAGACAGGACAGAAGACAATAGGACACAACCTGCAAATGGCTGCATAGTTACTCACAATATTTCTTGTAACTAGCCAACGAGAGTGTGTAAAAATGTTTGTAGGAAATACAGGGCTTCTGTACAGCAAGATGGGCGAATCTATACATTTTGAGGGACTTGGATTATCAATTAATCACAAAATAAACCATTACAAAATTCCACAAACTTCTTGTAAATGTATACATACAACATACCTTAAGTTCCTCTAGTAAGGGGTGTGGAGTCCATCGTTCCTGTGACATCTGGTGAGAAACTAGTTCTTTCTCGGATGGCACGATGTAAAGGTTGATGAAGTCTTTCACTTGCTGATGCAAGTTCTGAACTCTCATTGGTAAGGCAGAAATTGTGATTGGTAGAAGACCTATAAAAACAACACAAGTCTTTGTTCACACTACTATTATAAGTACTGTTATGAATGTTGCAAACCACTCAAAAATATTATTGAAGAGGCAACAACTAGATATGTCTTTCAACAAATCCACTGCATTTGTTGGCTGCAAATACCAACAAATACCAATGTAAGACAAATTTCTTCTTTACCAATGTGTAGAATAAGAAGAAACAATAAAGGTATCTACAGATCCATAATCATAAATTTTCTTACTTCAGCCCCTCTGGGCCCCCTCTATATCAAATTCCTAGATCTGCCACTGAAAAAGCTGATTTGGAGACATTGTCCCTCTAAATTAGGGTGACAATGGTATATTAAGACTCATTCAATGTTGGTCCAACCAAGTACTTTTAAGAGGCCACCATTATACCCTGAGAAACCTCATTACCTGGGGTTGATTCACTGTGAGTACTGTATGATCGCCTAGGCTGGGAGAAAGTTGAATATTTTCTACTGGATGGTTTGCCATCTGTGCTGGTTGATGCCGGCCTATTGTGCCCTTCAGCAAATGACCAGCCTATGCCTGCCATTTGCTCAGCTAGTAAACCAACCATTTTTGCAGAGTCTGAACTTGCTTGACCTGTTTAGTAATACACGGAACCAAAAGTAGTTTAATTTCTTTTTTATCTTATTAAATGAGGAACAGTCTAATCAGGGAATGTGATTGTGGTCATCAGTGTTCTTCAACCAATCCTCTACATACTGTACAGCTTTGAAAGTTATTTCGGGTTTTAGAAAAACACTGACATTTATATTTTGATTGAACCCAGAACTTTGAAATTAGAAGATGGGCACCTTGACCACCGAACCACAGTTCCACTCCATTATTAATCTTTTATTTCAATGAATAGTTTTACTTTTAAATATGGCTGACAAAATAATACATTCCCATACCTAATCATTATATAACATTTAAATTTACAATATACTGTTTGAAAAAAAAAATCTGGTCACATTTGTAAGGTAAATATGTATTAGAGTACTACATTATACCATTTTTATATACGTATTTATGTCTTTACAACATTTTTTAATTGTATGTTGTGCTTTTGGTCATACCCTGAGTTGATCGTTTGTAGACTCCTTGCAAGATAGCTGCCACTCTGAAGAAGGAAAAAGCCATATACACAGACATATCATTCACAGGTGGAATATTTCTTGTTTGAAAGTACTGGCGCATGTAATCATCAGCATTTGGTATGCCACTGTTGGATAAATCTTTCCCAGCAAACCCTACATACAGGAAGTGATGTAATTAATAGATCATTAATAGCAGAGCAATATGCACTGCTACAGAAATCAAACTAATAGCATTCGTAGCTCTGAGCAATAGTAACTATTCTATACTGTACGTTCACATGCACCACTAGCAGTTAGCAGTATCCACATTAATAACATACGCACTGTTGAGTTCATACAATAATATCCCCGAACCACATATTAAGAAGATGATGGTAGGATCACTGTACTACTATAGAAAACTAGTAATGCATATGTCTGAGTGGTAAATGAAAGAAATGAAATCAGCTTGCTAACCGATAGTGCTTGCTAACTGATAGTGCATCAATTTCCTGGGAACGGTTAGAGATAACCAATCAGGCGTGCTCACACGTGTGCAAATGGCTCGGGTTAACCGTTAGCTCCCAATGTGGATATTAAGGCTCTAATGTGAACCTAACCACTATGGATGAAAACCAGAAAAATATTTTACCTTTCAAAAGTGGGAATTCTGGTTTGAGGTAGTACGGTAAACAATTGTAAGCCAAGTCTGATATGGGGTTTCCAAGTGTGGACAGCTCCCAATCCAACACAGCTACAACCTCAGGCTTGTGAGGGTGGAAAATTAGATTATCAAGCCTAGGAATTCAAAGGAACAATGTGGGTTAAGAAATGACAAACGGCTGCACTAATGAAGGTAATGCCGAACTTTAATCAAACAAGCTCATTATCATACAAGATTCAACTATTCATTTTCATGACACTGACATTGTCACTTACTGAAATATTACAGTAGTTAAATGGTCCTTATTATGAGTTAATGTCTGAGTATCAATAAAAGTTAAAGGTAAACTACTACCAAAGCTAATGTTAACAGGCATAAATTCTAAGTGTCAGGTCTCAATTAAGGATGCTACACTATTATATCAGCCAATCAAATGAAGGAAGGCTCTGGATGTTTAATTTCAACAGCATTTTTTTTGTATGTAGACTATTATATTGTCATCATAATTATACTGTTATTGCCAATAATAATAATAATAATAACAATAATAATAATAATAAATATAATAATAATAATATGTAGGTTTCTCAGAGCGCTTTTCCACATTATTGCCCCAGTCATTGGAACGATGCCAATGGGGGGGGGGGAATTCCATAGCTGCATTAAGTATTTTAGCGTATTTTGCACTTGAATCTCCTATCCATTTATACTCCTGGGTGAAGAGAAGCAATGCAGATAAAGGGCCTTGCTCGTGGGCACAAGTAAAATGCACAGCGAGGGATTGAAACGCCAACCTTGAGGTTGGGAAACCAAATCTGCTGCGCCAAACCAACGCTAATGCCATTATTATTTTAATTATTATTATTAATACTATCAGTATTACATCATTTTCCTCACTATTATTAATGTGTACTGTTACCATTTTTCTGTTATCATCATTATATTATTACTATTGCTGTTATTATCATTTATATTATTATTATTGTGTTTCAGTATAATAGTCACCAACCTGAAATCACCATGAACCACAGTGGTGTGATCATTGGTAGGTGTGTTCTTTGGTAACCACTCCATTAGATGCGTCATTGCTTCTATTTCATGGGTTTGGCTTGCCAAGTACTGCTTGGACCATGTCTTGATCTGCCGCTCGATATAATTGCCTGGTAACAAGATTATATCAACTGTTGCCATACACTATTTGGCAAACTGGAGGAAAATGGGTGTTATGACCACTTTTTCCACCAGGTTTTATATATTCAAAAATCTGTATCTTATTACCTGTTAATATATTAGAAGCCATATTGTTTTTATTTATATTAAAATAAATACATTAACAAGATTATTTGTCTAGCTAGACCTAGATATGTGGCGAAACTACAGAATGTTAAAGTAACAGATCCTTTCAGTTCCTTGAGAACCTGGTGCAGCCTAGGCTGATGCTGTTCAAGATAAAAGTTTAGAAAGTGAAAAAGGATGGTTATTGACTTAAAGCTACTAGCAAAAGTCCATGCTATTTATTATAGATGCTTACAATTTCAGGCAATCAATTTAGCACTTTTTGTAGTAGGAAGTCAGTATTTCAGGGGAAAAAAATTAATTTAGTTTAATCTGCATATCAAAGAAGATTGATAACGTATTTAATCCTTTTAGGTTAGCTATTCAAATTTTCAATTGAACTTTTGATGTTTCTATTATTTTGCAGAAAGTACTAGTAAAAGGGTTTCAATAGAATGCAGAGCTAGTACCTGAATACACACTATATGTAAAAAAAAACCAAATTAAATATTTAAAATAAATTAAATATTTACCATACTTTCCAAAATCATCTAGGCCTGCTGCTGTGACATCCACTGAGTGTATTTGAGAGAGGACATTGCGCATGGCCTCGTATACTTGACATCGCTCATCTGGTGAGAGACCAGGGCATGATGGATCCTTAAAGATCCTACCTTCCATGAAGTCCATTAGATAGAACGGAGTACCGATAATGCTGAAAATGAAAAATTAGAGCATTTGCTAAATAACAAAAACACAAGTAATATACTTACACCATTTTAATTAAATTGCAGAGTACACTGATTGTATTAACTGCAATGCAGGATCGTGATAGGTGGTGTGCGCAAGGCAAGATCAACCAGATGACGATTGATTGTATTTGTACTGTGTGTTGTGGTCGGAACAACCTAGGTTCAAATCCTAGTCATTTTCAGATGAGGGTTTGGGATTGAGGTTAATGTCCCTGCTTTTTATGCTTAAGACCCCAGTTCAAACCCAGCCCATATTGGGTTTCAATTGGAGTGTGATCATTTGGCTTCTTTAATAAACCTCGCAGGAGAGTTAGACAGGATGAGGTGTGGTACATACGCTGCAGCTGCTGTGGAATGCTAGGGGCCAGCCTAAATTTCCAATTTCAAATATTTGAAAATGGAAAAGTACTTACTTATTATTTATTTATTATACATACATGAAATAAAAAGAATGATATATTGGCAAAAATAATAAGCAAGATTATGCCATAAATTATGTATACAACTAATACCTTGAGTCTTCACATAGGCTGATCAAGTTAGGTACAGGCACCCCAGCCTGTCCCACAGCATGCATCACCCTGTATTCTCTCTCAACCGCATGAGCAGATGGCAGCAGTTTACCAGGTGGTTTTTTCCTAAGCACCATGTTCCGACCTCCATAGCTTATAAAGTATGTTGGGTTAGACTGTCCATGTTTGAACTGTCTAATATTGAGGTCACTGTCTGTGGATATTATTCCAAGGCTATGAAGGTATTCAACGAGTGGTTCCCTGGGAATGTCCAGGCCTTTCCTTACAGATGTTGTTCCTGGTACAAATCCTTTTAGAGGTAGATTCAAAAGACTCTCAAGCTCTGCTAAGGCATCACCAGGCTCATCCACCTTCATTCGAGAAAAAATAACTTGTGTTTAATAACATTATTTTTTTGTATATCTTAGTTAATTAGGCCTGATGTTACCATCAATGTTGATGAGAGGTGGCCGCCCAATATTTATTTAATTTATAAGCCATGAAATAATAATGTATATATTTGAAGGATTTAGGAGAGAGGAAGACATTTATTTATTGGCTGTAATATGCTTACAAACTCAAATAATGCCAGTTAATTTAACTGTAAATGTGAACTACAACATGTAATTACCATCAAAATGTGATAATTGCGTGATCATAAAGACTTATTGATCCCCACAAGGTTAGAAAAACTGTAATTCTACTGGAGTAGAACATTAATAGTGTGTGTGGAGAATGATGTTGCTTCTATAGTTTTGTTTACAATAAGATAGAGCAGCGTTTGTCCAAAAACATAAAAAATAAACGCCAGGGTATTTATTTGATGGGACATTTGTTCAATACAATGCTCTGGAAGGGACATTCATTCGAAGGGGCATTTATTTAAATATACACGGTACATACATATACTGATGCGCTATTATTTTATCATATTGAAAATTTCATGTATGTCTGTGACTTCCTCCATTTGCTAAACTGTTTCATCCACAACTCCAAAAAATGAAAAAGAAACAGATTGAATGTGCACCTTAATAGTGTGTATCCCTAGACTCCTTGCAGCATTTACATTGCGTCCAATATCATCAAGAAAGATACTCTCCTCCGGCTCAACTTTTAATTTCTCCAGACACAACTGATAAATTCGTGGATCTGGTTTGCGCATTCCAACTAGGCAGGATTCAACTATCTATGCAAAAAAAAAAAATATATGATTTTACTTCAGTGGTTCTGCAGTTTGGAGCTTACAAGCACCACAAATTCTATATGATAATTATACATTGTAATTGTATAAATGTTGATGAGAATGATATATAACAAATTTATATAGAGCGTACAACTCAATGGTTGACATTTTATAATAATAATAATAATCAACAAGTAGCCGACACATATTAATATTAATGAACACTTTAGTTGCCTCATTCATTCTGTCTTCACATTGGTCCAAACTGCATCACCTTATTCTTTCATTACTCCTTACAGCTTTATATAAGCTTAGTGTTTAGCAGTAGCTACTCTCAATTTCATTTCATTTATTCATCTCATAAAAACATTAAAACACTTTACAACACACAAAAAATATACAGAGAGACAGGAAATCAAAAAAGTGAACTAAATTGACTATCAAGTGGATTACCTTACATAAAAGACTTTACAAAAAAAAACAATATTAAAACCTATTCAGCCTTTAAAATAATCTTTTGAATCTATATCAAATGAGTTAAAATTTAAAAGTTTTTCGGTGAGTTCAGGGGGCAAATCATTCTATAAACAGGGAAAATGATTGAAAATAGAGAACTTAAAACAATTGGTTCTGCAATAATTATGAACAAACCTAAATTCATTGAATCATAAAATCTAAGATTCATTTTAATAAATCTTAGACTTGATAATGATGGTTGTGCCATCAAAAATGTTGTGGCTTAAACTTTTGAAATTAAATAAATTGCAAATAATACTATAATGTAGTTTCTTATCTGAATTTAATATATTTTCCTTTACCACATTGAAAAGTGAGACATCAAGGGGTTGAAGACTCTTGTGCGATTGGTCCTTCCAGTTGTTGGTGAGCAAGGCAGTTGATAGGCCTTCAGATTGGATGCATTTCACTGCATCCAACATCTCTGGCAACACTTTGACATCTCTCTCAAACACTTTCAAGAAGTCCTTCATATCGACACTCCTCCCTAGCTGGTTAGGTATAAAACATTTCTATTAATTTAATAATAATAACAATAATAATAAAGGGAAATGCACAGCAAAGGCTCGAACGCGGACCTCAAAGTTGAGAGCCTGAACCACACGCACTGCACCAACCACTCCCATCTAAAGAATCTATCTATTACATTTTACATTTTTTTTTCCACTGCTCATTTTCGACTTAACAGACACAAAATTTATTATGTGTCTGTTAAGTCGAAGCCAGAAATTATTTTAAAAACATTCCCTTCCATTGGGTTTTGTTAACTAGCTATTTCTTTAAGTTATAAAAATCTGCAATATTTTCAAATTTAAGCCCCCCTTTCATTTATATCAGATTTAATTTTTGAGAATAATGTGACTCTGTCTTCCTTTGTGGAATTTCAGGTTTATCATGCAGGAGGGAGTTCATCACTCTGTAAAATGTGCCCAAGCACATGCATTGACCACCATCTGTTTTGAAGTGATTGAGAATGGTGACAATTATGATAATTATTCATGCATATTACAATTTCATTACTGTACATGACATTGTAATCACCTTTTCTGAACATTCTGAGCTGAAAATCATTCCAAATTCTTCAGTGTTGAGTTCTCCCCTTTCCAACTGGGCAAAGCTTCCATTTTCCCCCTTCTCGATGATGACTTGTCGAATTAGCCCTTTTGGAAGACCTTTCTCCTTTTCAAATGCTTGGAAAAATAATGATCACAAGTTCATGAAAATATTCGCAAAGTACGTTGAAAAGAAAATTGTTAATGCCTTTCTCATATTTTGTGATAATAATTGTGTAAAGCACCTTCAAATATTTTAAATGGCTTGGAAATAAGGACGCCACCCATGTCAAAGACAACTGCTTTGATCTTCTGGTGTTGCGGAGTAAGGTGCAGCCATCGTCTTCTGCTTTTTTGACAACTAGCTAATGACAAGTTGGCTCTGTAGTGCAATGTTGTAAGTCCTCGGACTACGACTGGAGTCACTCTCGACTGAAGCATTACAATGTGTGTCTATATCAAAACTCTGACAAGTCTGCAAATTAAAAATGAAGTTGAAAAAATATTTCATGTTTTTATATTGACCAAAGACAAAATGTTAAATGATAGTTCATACAGAATATCACAAAGGCTAAAAAAACCTCCCAAAAAACTGTTGATTACTAGCGCAGGCAATAATAATGAATAGAAATCAAGGTTGGTCAGTCCAGGGAACAGTGAAATTACATTAGACTTCTCTTATTGCAAGAATTTGTTTATAACTTGTTTTGCTAACTTTCTATTTTTTCATGGCAGTGGGTGTGCTATTCTAATTGGCCAAAAATAAAATTTTATTTTAAAAAAAATTTGAAATCATCTTGGCGGGTGGTGGGCTTGCCAAACAATGTATAACTATAAATCCAATCATTTTATCTGTATAATGCCGGCGTTAATGCATTTTAGTACTCCACCTTAACCAAACCCTTAACCTCAACTGCACAGTCTTGCTATGTTATTGTTAAGGTTAGGGTTTGGATGGAGTACTAATTAAAGTGCATTAGCCCAGCAAACTGTGCAGGCTTGCAGTTTGCAAACGAAACCTCCCACAACTTATATGCCCCTGCTTTAAATAAGAATACAACAAATTCACTGAAGTCCGCGGCGGCCTAGCCTAGCTACTTAGGTAGGAAGGGTCTGCTCCCCCTAGAGGCTAGGCCTAGTCTGAGTCTAAGTACAGCCTTAGCGCCCTAGCATAGGCCTAGCTAACTAAGTATGGCATAGGCTAGGGCCTACCCTATGTAGCTTTTCTTTTTAAAAGTACATTGGTCAATTGAATAGTAATACAAATAAATAAATTTATGGCATTACAATCAGTTATCCATGAGGTCAATTCGAGCAGAAGCCAACTATTCGAGCGGATGCCACTTCAAGTGAATACCAGTTCGAGCGGAATTTGGTGGAATATAATGAATATGATATAATATGCCAGCAGTTCGAGCGTATGCATTAGTGTGAACAAGGCTTAAGGGTGAATTTATCCAAAACAAATTATTTTTAAAATTAAAAAAAAAATTTTTTTTATTTGTTTAATGCCAAAATGTACTGACGTGTAACTAACGTTTTGAATTTTTTTTTAAATTTTTACTGTATTTTACTGTAACTTCATTTGTAATAGGCATAAATATAAATGTATACAGAGTAGGGGACCTCTGTACTTAAAAAAGTGTCCCTTTAATAGGGGTGTCCCCCGAATAGGGGTTCCCCTACATAGGGGTACCCCTATATACAGAGGACACCAAACCAAAAACGTAATAATAATTTATAATTAGGCCTATATAGGCCTAATTATAAAAAAAAAAAAATTAAATTCACAATACAAATCAAAAGGCACATCCAATTATATAAAAACCAAAAATGCGGTAATTATGCTCTTGCTAAATTAATGATTGAATTAATTATCGTTAGGCCTATTGTAAATGCAATGTTTTACACTGTCACTGAGATTCCATGATTTACACAATTGTGGCTCTTTATAACCTTTAGACGTATTAAATATTACAGAAACTAGTATACATTTCTATATTACCCTTGATCCTGTCAATAAGAGTAGGCCTATACATTGACATACTTTGCTTCGTAATTAAAAAGATCACAATAAAACCTATGGAATCATTAACAAGCATGTTGTCAATTAAGAGATCAATTTGATAGTTGGACAAAATAATATCTTTGTGTTTAGGTAGATTTGAAGCATGCGGCTATATGTGTTGATCTACAATATTTAGGAATGCCGTCTTGAATATATAACCGGCATATTTTGCATTTTATCAAACGATACTAGACTTATGGATTTATTACAATGGATTTATACATAGAGAACCATACACAAGATTTGGAACTAAAACAGTGTGGCTTGCTTTCATCCCAAGATAAATTAAGTGTATCAAAAGAGGACGCTATTTACCTTCAAGCTGTTCTAACCTGTAAGCTGCACTCTTTAAGCCAGGATCCATGGTATATGGTTATGATAAGGATCAATATCTAGGGCATCACCGCATATATGTGGTCCAGTCAGCTTCCTGAAATATATAAATTCAATAATAATTATATATAAATTACTCTGATGTTCAAAATATTTTTTGAAAAATGTTTTTGTTATTGTCTCCATCGGTATTTAAAATCTACAATTTATGACAGTTAGATTGATGCAACATAAGATATTTTCTTACTAGGACACACTTTAAGGAATTTTTAAGTCACATAAATAATTTTTAATTATATTTTATTCCTGTATTACGTTTGTATCGGGCACTGAGCCGCTGATAACAAATGATACTGTTAAAGTGTTAAAAAAAAAAAATCTCTGATTGAAATATAAGTATTAAAATGTTTTATATTAAAAGAACAACTCATGGTCATCCTGTACAGAAAACTGAATGATAGATAATTTTTACCTGATTGCATGCTCAGAACAGGTGTTCCAAAACTGGACAATGTCATTCCAACCTCCGGATACAAAAAAGATAAGGAGGAGTGACAATAGGAACGTCTACCCCCTCGATCACCGACCGGGTCTCTGATGTCGCAAGCGTCTGGTCTTTTTTGAATTAAAAAAAAATTAGGCCTAATGTATTTTTTCGTCCAAAGAATTTCCTTATATTAAGATGCAATAGAATTAAGTTACTTTTTTGACAATGATAAAAAGGGGGAAAAATGATAATAAAAATCTCAGAATAAACTCGCAGCTTACCAAACTTTCATTAAAAATTAGGCCTAATAGAATTGATGTGATTAAAGTAAGATTCGAGTGTGCTGATGGTGAATAGTTGTGAAGAGGATGTACAGTACTTATATCCGATTGTTGAATAAATAACCATTGGTCAACAAAAGAACTTATTCCCAGGTACCATCACATTGATGGCTCACGCACCCGGTGTTACTGGTGGGAACCTTCCCTGGCAACTACATCGTTACACATTATTTTAAAGGTGGTACACCCTTTCATCGTAATTGCAAGGTGGCGTCCAAAAATCATAACACACTCGGTATCATAAAATAAGAATACGAATAACAGGCCTTAAACAGGAGCTGAGCATCATTCACTTGTCATTATTGGGATAACATCATGGTTGTTCATCGAGCAGGTTGATCGATACCGTATATCCTGATCATTATGTGTCTTCTCTAGAAGGGACTCTACTAGTTCCCCTTGCTGGTTTGGGTGTGTACCCATCTCTTAGATGGGTCGTTGGGCCTTAGGCACCCAAACAGCATTTGGCGTACTTGATATGTATTTATGTAAATAATAACTTTTTAATTTACGATACGGTGGACTAAGTGTCCATAAAAATTACTTCATAGTAAAACGCATTGCAATTGTCATGTTCAGTGTAGGTTCATTTTATTTCATGCATTATTTGGATGCATAAAATTCAACATACATATAAAATATAACATTCACAATATAAAATTATTATAATAGGCCTAAATTAATTTTGAAAAATTTCAAATTATTATTATTAATATTATTATTATTATTATTATTATTATTATTATTATTATTATTATTATTATTATTATTATTATTGTTATTATTATTATTATATTATTATTATTATTATTACTATTATTAATATTATTATTATTATTATTATTATTATTATTATTTATGTTTTGTCGTGCCTGGTTTATGTTAAAAATTAATTGCTTGTGGAAGGAAGGAGAGACGATAAAGTCATGAAACTTTTATGGTATCTACCGTACTTAATTCTTTGCTCTGGCGCTTGTGACATTCACACTCAGTTGATTGGATTTAAATTTCATAAAATCAGAAATTGACTTGCCAATAGAATTATGGTTCACCCTTAAGTTTACTTGTGACACTCACAGTTGTGACTGATAAAGCCATGTTCATCTTTTTTTTTTTTATTCAGCATTCAAAGACAGAATAAAGAATAATGAGGGCGAAATTGTAGTTAAGTTGTAATTAAGCTTAATCTTGAGCCGTAATTCCTGGCTCCGAAACCTTGACTCAGAAGTACCGGGTTGGTGTCCGGCGGGGGATAGTTTTCCACCGAAGTTTTTACTATTGTTTATTTTATTGTACTGTGCTGGTTACTTTTTGTTGTTGTTAATGTACTGTGTTTTTGCAGGACCATATTGTAAAACAGCGGGTAAGTTATCCTGCCTAAAGATTTTTAAAAATAAAAAAATAAATAAAATTGGGTGTCGCTGATTAAAAGTTGTTCTATACTGTACGATTATTTAGACACCGAAGAGGGACCAAAAATTCGGTTTTTGTTTGTCTGTTTTTTTTTTTTTTTTTATAACAATTTCCCCATGATAGCAAGCGCGATGTTCCGGTACGATACCTCAGTAGCAATTTTTGTTTTTCATAATAATAATAATAAATATGTTATATTTATATAGCGCTTAATGCCAACAAGGCCTCTAAGCGCTTCACATTACTACCCCCGGTCATTGGATTAGACGCCTATGGAACACAAACTGTTCCATAAAGTGCAGCAGCTACATCAGCGCATTTTGGCATTTACACTCCTGGGTGGAGAGAAGTAATGTAGATAAAGTGCCTTGCCCAAGGACACAAGTGAAATGCACAGCGAGGGGATATAAACTCTTCATTTCAAAGTAGTCACCCAACCTGCGAACATTATAACGTCAGCAAGCCCCTGAAAATATAATTTTGGTCTGTTCAGATAGGGTTACGCGTCAAGAGATTAGTAACAAAACTGTAAATAATGTCATTTAACTATTATCATCATCATCATCATGCTATCTTGAAAAAGGCCCCTGGGCTTCTTTTCGACATGGGTGTCTGTTCGAGGCTACTTTTGTTTGCAAACTAAAGAGAGGGGAGGGGGGCTACAATTCTATGGTCTTCTTCTCGAGATTAAGGGCTCCTATTCAAGGTTTTACGGTAATGCAATCAGTCTGAACTTTCAGTCTTTTAAGTGATAGTATTTCCTGATGACTGTATTGCACAGTACCGAAAGATTTTGGTTATGCACATTTTGAAATTAACTTGATTATCTGTAGTAACATACAAACTATCAACTTGAGCATAACAATTATTAAATTTAAAAAATGTGTACCCTAATTTTTATACCGGGTAATGATAAAAAAAAAAAATTAAAACACTCCCAGTGGCTGGGTTCTGAAGATTAATGAATATTTGAGAAAAACGTTCGACGGTACGCCCTACATTTCAGGATTCGAAGCCATTAAGACTTCTTAACACTACATTTATTTATTTATTTATCCGTCGTCAGTCACAGGTAGGGCCTACATAGCTTAAGACACATGGATGTCACACCGCAAAGCCAGTGAAACGGAATCTGTACCGGTACTGTTTTCTCTATTTTAAAAGTTCCGGGATTTTCCCAGTCAACACCATTGTACTACTTTCCACCATCCAAAGACAACGAATTACAGGTATACAATAATATATTATAGAAATTACATCTTACAAAATTTATTCTATCTTTAAATAAATGTCTGCAACTGTTAAAAATACTCTCAGTTTTAGGCCTAACAGTCAAACGTTCTATTATTTGATAAGCAATAATTTCCTGAAAATTACACGGACCAATGCAGCCTAACAACTTCTACTACCCAAGGTCCAGTTGATATTGTAGAGTAGCTTATTAGGCCTACCAGTAGCCACGTGCCTAAGCACTGGAATGCTAATGTTAAATAATAGAAATAATGCAAACTATCATAATTACGCCAAACAATGTATTTAAAACTACTACTATTAAACTACTATTGAAAATCAAAATCGATTGCAACTCAATCTTTTTGTCAACTGCAACATAAAAGCACCCCACTCAATATTGATCACGCATGATCTCAATGTCATCCGACGTTGCACGATGAAAGTGTTGATAATTTTGCAATAACGGTAAAAATCACCGACATGGTTCTCCGACTGTTAAATATAGGTTTATACATTGTATTTGCTTTTCTGTTATTACTGTAATTGAAGGAATAACCTATCAATACAGGCCCGTAGCCAGGTCATTTCAAGAGGGGGTTCTCTGGGCGTGGGGTCCAGGGGCCTGCCTAAAGGCCACGGTGGGGTCGGGGGCGAATCCCCCGAAGCCAGAGCAGTTTTTTTGTTTTTAATGGATCTATATAATGTTATAAAAGCAGTTACGGTATGTTTTGAAAAAGATCTATGTAATGAAAAGTTGGTAATATAATAAAATTAGAAAATATTTTCTGAGAATTGGCATGTTTAAATCACATTGAAAGATATAAAAAAGAAACCTCATCGCATAATCAATATCAATATACTCAACACGTTTATTATTATAGAACAAAAAAAAAGCTATTCTTCTTTTTCCTCCTCTTCCTCTTCCTATTCTTTTTATTCTACTACCTCTTGACTCTCATTTTGTACACTGAAAATAATAGTACATGGCTAAAAAAAGCACAAATATTGTCATTACTGACAGGGCCATCGTTAAATTAAGTCAGAGCTCAAAATATAGCATCGTATTCAATACGCCTCATCTGGCATCATGAGAAACTAAACTTTAATTACAATTATTTGTTATATACATACCTAATTATATATACCTAATTCGAAATTATTATTTTAAGACTTTAACATAATACATACTGATTAATAATAGCTGAGATTTGATGCACATTTCAGAATTATTAATCGACGATTTTAGTATATCTTACTGAATATTTATTGTCTACCAAATGAAATATGAATGAATCTTTAGAAATACAATTTCTACAATATTAATCTTGTTTTATATCGATAAATTCTATCTTTCTTTAAAAAAAAAAAAAAAAAAAAAACGAAATTCAGCGCGTCTAGTATTTTCATTCTAATCAATGGCGTTTGTAAATGTGCACTGACGTCATCGTCGAATCCCAGGACTTTCAACGGTAAAGCTGGCCTGCCTGCCTAGGACCCAGGCCAACCAATAATAATTAACAAAATGTATTTTTTTAAATATAGGCCTATGGCGCATCCTGTTCAACTTTTACAACAAAAACCTAGGCCTAGTATCTGTAGTACGTCCTACTGTACTTAGGCCTAGGCCTACACTAGTTTCTGTTCGGGGTATAATTCTGTCCCTAAACGAACGAAGAGCGAACCTAGCTAGTCAACATCTAGGTCATGGTTTGCTGAAGTTGCGTTCAATTTAAATCTCCGAACTTCTGAAGCTGAGAATATATTCTATGAATGTAGGCTTGTATCGCTGGCTACAATTTAAAAACGGGTGACCAAATAATGAATTAGGTGCTAAATTTTGATTTAATGCTGGCTAAGTTAAAAACAGACATCCGTCCGAGTGGGACTCATTCAAAAATTCGAGGGGTTCGCTAGAAAAGGGGGGTTCGCCCGAGCCATAACCCCCCCCCCCCCCACTGGCTACGGGCCTGCAGTAGAATACACTTCTGATCGGGCATTTTGTAACACTTCCATGCGAGACTGTCTAATCCTCATTTTTATTCAAAATTCAATAACGTTCGAAATTGTAGAATTCTCAATCTCTATGTTTAGAGAACTTGACGTCATGCTGAATCAACTTGTGGACATTCACAGCGCATTGAGACTTCGGTATAATGCGCTATACCAAATCCCACTACATTACATTACATTACATTTTGTAAAATTAATGATTGGCATATTTATAGCAATTTTAAATTAATCTTTTTTAACCCTAGAACACGAGCTTCCCGTCCCATAACATTCCTCAATCGAGTAGGCGCTCGTGTTCTACTATTTGCATTCACACATGGGCTGTATATTATATTGCCTTGGTTTGGCTGTATTAGTGGTGTTGCAAGTGAGGCTGACCTGAGCTCTGCTAAGCTGGTCTAACGTTTTGTTTGGGTCTGTACCCTAGCTGCACTGATGAGGCATATAAGGTCGAAACGGATCAGTCTGTAGATATTGGGATTTTTTCCAGTGGATATTTAGTTTATTATGTCATTCTATCAGATTTTCTCTACTGTTCCGTTTTAATGTTTTGCATTATGTGGCCGCTTTTTGTTTTATGGGTTTGTCCCATTTGCCTATTAATAT